TTATTTATTTATTTATTTTTATTCTTAGCTATTGTAGTTTTCCAGCAGCAGTAGTATATTTGTTATATTGTATACCCTCCTGATCTGTTTGAACAGGTTAATATTAGATGGATAGTATAGCTTTGGTTGCACCCTTTTTCCCCTCATATTAGTTGAAAACGCTAGATGTTATTTCTATGTGAATTAAGTAAAGCTCATTTCATAATCTTCGTTAATGAAATTTCTCTAATATGATGATTCAAGGATTCATACCATTCCACAAAGGCTAAGGCATTTTTTAAGGTTGAAATGGGATGTTCCACATTTTCATTTTTAGTCTTGCTTCCTTTCCGTTTTCACTTGTGTCATAAGTGAAATCCAAGACGTGCTAACTCTTCCAGCCAGCGCCAGCCGCTGGACTAAGATGGTGGCATACCGTCACTGTGTAACCAGTCAAACAGGAGCCCTTGTGTAAGCACTAACATATTATTCTAGTGGGGGTGTCTGTCTGATCATGCCACTGATCCCAGGTGAGTGTAGACCTAACTAGATAGAAATCAACCACTGTTGCTTTTTTTTTTTTTTTTGGGCTGGTGTAATCAACAGTTGTGGGCAGCATCATATATTTCATGCTTATTTATTCAGAAAATCTAATTCACTAACACTGTTCTTCTATTTGTATTTTTTACATGCTTATTTTGGTACACATCAGGCCTATGCCCCATGATTTCATTATATCCTTCCTTCTTGGGCGTATATAAAAGTCTAGAGTTGAAAGTATTTACCATTGCCATTGTCACCATCTTGTTCCAGTCAGGCTTAGGAGTTTCAGTAGGACTACAAAAGTACAGAGCCACAGGTTTCAAAACGATATTTTGTTCTTTTTCCAGACAGGATCTATCAATTTTTTTTTTCTTTTAACAAATACAATTTTTGAGGTAGGGAGAAGGTTTTGAAGCAGCTTATGAGGTTGCGAGGCGTACCTTTTTACCTTACAAGGCCGGGTGCCAGACAGCATCTATCAAGACATTATTATTTTGATAAAAAGTTTGAAACAGAGATGTCCTACATCATTTGGTAATAATGTACCATACTGCAGAAACATGTCCCTTGAGCAGGAATCCTTTCCCTGTCCCATAGGGACACAGACACACTTTGTCGCTAACCATATTATCAATATCAATCATTCAAGGCAATTACGACTTGTCATTGCTAGTTCTAAGCTGTCCAGCAAATTCTGGGGCAATCATCAACCTTTAAAAAGCCCCATCCTTGGTTTCTAGGTGTCCAGTGGTTGGTTATTAAAAGCAAAAACTAATTATTAAACCTCCTTTTCAAATATACAAGGTGTACGTATATAGCATTTTAAGGCTTCCTCGACAGACAGGTCCCCAATCAACAGCACAATCACCAGTTAAATAATTTACTTTTAGTAATCTACAATCTAGGAATCCATGATACAATCTAGGAATTCATGAAATTTTTATACACATTCTCCATTACTACCAAAGGGTAAAGTTTTGAATCAGACAAACAGTGGGAAACTGATGATTGAACCAGGAGGAGTTCCACCTGCGGACTTTAGTATATCATTCTGATGAGAAACTCAGCTCATCAATACCTATGGATAACTCTGATTCAATCACCTCATCGGCTTTCTTGTCCTCGGGTTTATCTTTTACACCATTTTCTTCTTTGCCTTCTGCTGCTGTTATACAGTCCTGGAATCTGAAGCAGCTTGTGAGATGGTCATTCGTAATTCCCGCCACCTGCATAAATGAGTAGACGACTGTGGGACCCACACTCCGGAACCCTCTTCTTACCAGATCTTTGCTTATTGTATCTGCTTTTGGGGATTTTACTGGAACCTGGCGAGGGTATCGGAATCTGCTGACTATGGGTTTCTGGTTCACAAAGCTCCAAATATACTTGTCAAATGACCCAAACTCATCAATAACCTGGCATCAGTAACACCTGCAAAAGGTTAGTCCCTAACGTAATCATAACCCCTAAGGAGTGTGCAATTTATGGCACTTGCTTCAGTACAAAGGGTGGTGGTTAATGATTGAAAGTAATCTATCTGACTAATTACTTTGGAGTTACCAGCTAAGCAAAGCTGGCATCAGATGAAAAGGAATAATTAGGTTACCTCAAACTCTTGAAATAACAAAAATCTCTAGTCAAGCTGTAAAGATTGTTGCTTATGGTTTGTCCCATATGTTTTGAAAACATGCCTAGATGGTTAGGACCACAGCTCAACCACCTTTCCTTTTCACCTTACCATAATTGATCAATGGATCTCTAAGCACCTCAGACATAATTTATTAGTTACTTGTACAAAGAACAGAAAACAGTGTAAATAGCCCCTTGATATGAGTATGTTAATGAAATTATTTAATGTGAGTGAGAAAATGAGACAAGCTTATGTTAAGTCCACCAACGGCATGATTTGTTATCAATGTCCATTACCAATGATTTATGAAGCATTAAGGATGAATCTTCACCTACTAATCTAAGGAAAAAAGAGGAAGAAGAAAAATGATGATTGACCTTTAATATTTGGCATGCATTCTCTACGATAGCACGCAGCTTTAATTCCGATAACAGGGAGCTTGCAGTGCTGCCTGGTGCTATTAGCTTCTTCTCATTTAATTTTGATACAGCAACAGGATCGAAATTTGCAAAAACATCCCTGCAAAATGGCATGTGAGAAAAATTAACACAATGTCAAAAATCCAAGAAAAAGGGCCAGCTACTTAATATGGAATCACAAAGGAACTTCCAACAGAAAAAATACCTAAATATATGCCTTTTGCTCAGAATAGCAGGCCATGTAAGTTCAGACAATGCACTTGAGAGTACAAGTAGCTCAAACAATTTCCTGTATGTGGAATGAGAACATAATGCAGACTAATTGTCAAATGGAAATTTTGTTATCAAAGGGAGATAGCCTTTTCAGTCAGCAGAAAAAGACATAAACAACATTATGATCACATACTTGTCGTCATGTACTGGAATACCCCACTCTTCATCATGGAAAGCAGCATAACTTGGGTCTAATCTCAACAAATGAAATAAAAAGTCAGTAGAGAAAAGTTGAAATGTGTGAGGTTCAAGTGCCAAGGTAAAACCAGAAGGAGATACCCTCTAATACCAATGCATAACTGCATTCTTAACCATTTCCCACATCACAGTGCAAAAGGGAAAATCATCCCTCGACTGCTTGTGATTATAGCTTTACATAAAGTGTATGCAAAATATCATGCAGAACATAAAACAATAAATAACAAACTACACCATTTCCATATTTACCTTTAAAAAAAATAGATGTAAGATATGCATTAGTGATTATTTGAAAAAGTGTTATTGGTTAGAAAAACTCAAACCATAAAACAGTTCAAAATCCTACTCGAACTAGCTTCAGTCCAACAAAGATGACAGTAAACACATACTTAAGTTCATATATACTTAAATCAACAGTAACAAAACACTTCAAAGGGAGAGGAAATAAGAACTCACCTGTAGTTGGTGTCACCCACGCACACCTCTTCTTCTGCTGGAAACCATCCGGTGGTGAATCCAACCCGCCATCAGAAACAACACTTCTTGACTTTGATACAGATGGCTTTCTCCTACTTCCTACACTGTATGACCTAGTTAACCTACCAGTGGATGCTCGACTATTAAATGAGTCTGTGGAAGCATCAGACGAACATGACGCATTAAGTGATAAATTGGAATGCAACAATTGCTCGTGGCGATGAAGCACTGAAGGAACAGTAACAGAATGTGCTTTTGGAGACAAAGAATTAACCGTAGATGATGGAAGGACTTTCTTCTCCTCTGCTGTAGTGACCTCCATGGGTGACTTCTCAACCTTTCTTAATGGCTTTGATGTGGGTTTCTTTGCAGTCAGTGAACCTGCTTTGTTTCCAGCAGGTCCCAATACTGGCCTGGCCTCAGAATCAGCCACATTCATTGACCTCAACCTTGGAGCACCCGACATAGATGGTTATCACCTTCAATCAAGGCAGATCAAAGATCTCATCTTTCTCCCCTAGATAGGCAAAAACTTCTAATTTTACTCAAATCCCAACATTGCCTGTTCAACTCAAAATCAACCAAAATCAACCAAAATCAAACAATAATGTGCACTAAACCCACAATATTTCTTCAGATATGAAGCTTAAACCATTTCAAGAACCTGAAAATGCTAACAATTGCACGAATTTCATACTTATTTTAGCCACATTCCTTAAGCATACCCTTTCGAAACCACCAAGATAGATCTCAGCTTTTCACCCGCGCCTAAAACTTGCTCAATTACACCAAACTACCGCCCTTAGCTTCAAATCCTCAAAACCCAGATAGCTACCTCTGAAAATTATCCTAAACCCATGTCCCCAAAACCCCAAAACCCCTCATTTCTCTTATCCTAAACACCACAGATCAACTCAAAAACCAAACCACCAAGCACAAACCAGAACTAATAATTGGTCCACTTTCGAGACCAAAAACTTGCCCTTCAAAGTTTAACGCAGAGCTAACTGGAAAAAGACAAAACAGGAAAGAAAACTTTCACTGAATATGCATTTGAAGCATTCAAATTAAGCCTCGAAACACATAGATTCCATTCTGCATTGTGGAAAACGAAAGTGGGAAAAGAGTTTTTTACCTCAATAAAGAAAAGTGGGCTTATTTATTTCGGAACAGTGTCGTTTCTGTCACTCCCAGAAAAAAAAGCTGACAAATTTGCTGCCAAATACTCATACTTTCCCTCTTTTTCCCGAGAAAATGCAGAAAATCACCAAGAAAATGCAGGAAAATTGATCGGAAACTAAACAGAGAGAAAAGGGTTCGATCTATGAGAATCGAAATTTTCTCCCTTTAGGACTGTGCAGAAGAACTAATGAGTGAAAGAGAGAGAAAAATACAAGATTGGGTTTAATTTTAATTTATTTATTTAGTCTTAAAGCCACCGGAAGAGCCGGTTACATACTACCGGCAATGCCCGGTTGCTTTATTTTACTTTTCTTGTTTGTGGGTTTTCTTTTTTCTTTTTTATTTTTGTGTTTGCCAAAACAATATAAAAATAAAACATTGATGTTTTTAGTTTTTTTATTTAGAATCCAAGATGTTCAAATAAAAAAATAAATGCTCAGGGTGAGATTTACTGAATTTAAATGGTTTTTTCTTTTTCTTTTTATTTTTTTGGTAAACAAATGGTTTTATTAAGGTTTGGTGTACCAAATAGATTATAGGACAATTCGCATTTTATTTTTCTGGTGGGAGATTGTACAAAGTGGAGAAGGGATTAGAGATGTACAATGCAACTGATTGATTGGGAAATATAATCATTCACATTAATTTAGATTAATCTTACAAGTACTAAAAAAAAAAAAAATTTTTTTTTCCTGTTGCTTGCCCCTCCATTTTGGCAAAATTGATTTTACAGATGGGATAGACAAAACAGGAAGGTAGAGAAACAGTACCAATAAGGAATTCAACTTTTAAAAGTTTATTAATTAAGGATCTAAAATTTTTTTTGTTCCTAATTGAGGATTTTAACTTTTTCAACTTTCCTATTCAATGACTCATAGTTACCAATTTTACTATACAAGAGTTTGTTGAATAGAATGTTGAT